AAAGTTTAAAACATTTTCTAAAAACAGAACTTCCCCCAGATCACTTTTAAGACCCCAGCCGCAGCCCCTAACAAAGAACAAAGCCAAAGCACTACGCATGTTTTTGCGTTGGTTTTTTTTTACAATGAAGATGTACAATTCTGCCAATTTTACAATAAGAATGGACTCTTATATATTTTGAGTCACTTAAATAACATGAAAATAATACAAGAATATTTTAAATATGTTCTATCAAAAAATACGCGTATCGAGAGAGTTCTCAGCGAATAATTTGTACATATGTTCTTTTGAAAAACACGCGAATATTCGGGGTTTCCGCGAATAACAAGTACATATGTTCTAAAGAAAAAATCCGCGAATGTGTAAAGCCGCGAGTGCTGAAACGCAGATAGGCGTTGGCTCACTGTATAGTGATTGTTCCTTTATCTATTCACTCAATATTATTAAGAAGATTATTCGTTCTTTTCTTCTGTTTAGTTTGCTTTCAATGTATCCTGTTAATATGACATTCTCCGGGACCTTTCTTCATTATATGCCTGTAAAATTTAAATTGTCTCTTTGTGTTTGATTCTAAGCAGTCGTTTCTTAGCAGTTCATATATAGTATTAGAAAAGGTTTTTGTTTCTTGCATACACTATGCATCGTCTTCTCGGCATTCGTCAGTAAAACCACTTCGATGTGGCTTCAAGAATTTTCTTCATCTTCGACGAAATTGTTCCACATTCGCTATTATATAGGAGAGTAGATAATATGTAGCAGCCTACCTTTTGATTCAAGCATAAAGTGGACATATATCTACCTTTTGACTTAAGTATAAACCAAATATGTCTAGTTTTTGACTCAAGTATAAACGGGACTTATATCTGCTTCGTGACATAAGTATAAATCTATACTTACCTTATAATTTAACTAAAACACACACACCTGTATCTACCTTTTTGTTCAGTTATGGACCTATATCTATCTTTTGACTAATGTAAACGAAACCTATGTCTACCTTTTGTAAGAAAGAGAGTATAAATCGAAAATATATTTATATTCATTATGATTTTTCTATTATAAGATTTATATTTGACATTAAAAAACCCAATAAACATTAATATGTCGTTAAATTGACCAACCAGACAATACAGTGTAACCCGGATGTAAGAGAGTTGTCGGGACCGGAGAAGAAGTCTCTTATATCCGGGTTTCTCTTATATCTGGGTTTCGTCTATTTTATATACATTAACACAGGCTCTAATTTGGGACCAGAGAAAATCTCTCTTATATCCGGATTTCTCTTATATCCGGGTCTCTTATATCCGGGTTACACTTTTACGTTTTTTGTTTTTATGCCAGCTAAATGCAAACAATTACAAAGAAACTTTTTTTCATTATAAGTCTAATCAATATTTGCAACTTTTATACAACTAATGGAAAAGGGAAGAGGTGTTGGAAAATATGTTGATATATTTATTTTCTTATATTATTCCAATGCAAGCAACTCTGAAGATGAAAATCCACCCACTTTTGTCAGTACAAGGAGTCCATTCCTACGATACCTCGTCACGCTACTTCTCGTGTAAGTAGGAACGTACACGCGAAAGAGAGCGAATACACACCAATATAACGTACAACCAGGAACTGACCTTCGCCGCCTTCCTTACTTTTGGGCCGTATGACGACATATTCTTCCGCCACACAATTTATTCTTCCGTCGCGTCGCGTATTCTTCCATTGAACCGTTAACGTCGTATGTACGAGACAAAATTAATAAAAACTGCGTCGTAATCACGAATCTTCGTAAGTCCGGACTGTAGTAATCCGGGAAGTTAGTGTAGAGATTTAATTGAATGTAGCTATATAATGATTTCATTTAAATTTATTTTATTTCATTCTTATAGAAGAAGAATGATTAGATAACCCTTTTAAAGATTAATATGATAGGTTAATAATATGAGAAATTATGCAAATTTAAATTGTTGCAATTTAAAACGCAAATAGTCTTTCAACTTTGATTTACGTTTTAACTTTCAATTCTCCACTTGAATCTAAATGCATTCGATAAAAACAAACATTTCATGACTCAATAAAAATCTTTTAAAAAGATTCAGTGAAATATTTGTAATTAAAAATTGATTCTTTTACCAAATTTTTTAAATTAAATACGACCATCGTAAATTATGCTAAAAATCTGCGGTATTTCACTGCATTGCATCGATAAGTTTCAGTAGACACTTGCAGTACTTTTGATGATGGGACAATTTTTACGGACATTTCTTGAGGGACAGAGCCCTCTCAAGAACGCGGAAAATAAATGTTTGTACATCAATTAAAAATCAATAAAAGAAGCAGGTGGATTTTTTTTATTGCAGTTATGCTAATTTGATATATTTTAATAATCAGTTATAAAAAATGGAGTATCTCGATTAGGCGTGTGGTCCTGTTGTATTGAAAATCTTTGATACTGATTTCTTGATAACATATATTATCAAGAATATATATATATATATATATATATATATATGTATATTAAATAAAAACAGACCACTTTAAGGTTCCATGTAATAAATTATTTCCCACAGCCCTTTTTAAAGTTGAGGGAATATGCATGGCGGAAAATATAATTTATGAGGCAACAATATTCCCCAAAGAGAATTTTGAGCAGAAAAGGATGTATATGGGTTTTTTCTTCTCTACCCTTTCGATATCAATATATAACTTCCGTTAAGTTAACCGTTTAAATGTGTCAATATCTGCTAACTCACTCATGTCTTCTCTCTCCCCCCTCACTTCCTCACTTCGTTAATTTACATATGTTTAATACGGCCCGCCAAAAATGTGTATATTTTCTTTTCATTTTTTGGGAAGTAAAGTCTGATGATCCGCAGTCCTTTAAAAGGTCTGTGGTGAAATAATTTGTTACATGGAACTTTAAAGTGGTCTGTTTTATTTTATTTTGCTCTAGATTTACAGTGAGCTCTCTGGATTTTATCCTCCTTAGGTTTACCCATACGGATTACCTAGTTTTTTCATAAACTATATATATATATATATATATATATATATATATATATATATATATATCCATGAAATGGATATATATATCATGTAACATGAATTGATGATATTCACTGAACACCAATGAAACTTCAGTTGATCATGTTCAGTGATATCCAATGAATCATCATTTGATGATATTTTTTGATCTCCAATAAAATATCAATGGATCATATTCACCGATCTCGAATGAATCATTAGTTGATGATATTTACTTATCCCATTGAAATATCAACTGATCATATTTACTAATCTCGCATGAAATATCCGTTGACCATACCCACTGATCTCGAATGAATCATCATTTGATGATATTCACTGATCTCCAGTGTAAACATCAATTGATCATATTCACGTACACTCCAATAAAATATCAATTGATCAAATTTACTGATATTCAATGAGTTATCATTTGATCATATTCACTGATCTGCAATTTAATCATCAATTGATCATATTCACGTACACTCCAATAAAATATCTATTGATCAAATTCACTGATCTCCAATGAATCCTCATTTAATCATATTCACTGATCTCCAGTGTAAACATCAATTAATCATATTCACTACATTCCAATGAATCATCGTTTGATCATATTCCCTGATCTGCAATGTAAACATCAATTTCATCATATTCACTACACTCCAATAAAGTATCTATTGATCAAATTCACTGATCTGCAATGAATCATCATTTGATCATATTCCCTGATCTGTAATGAATCAAATTTGAGTATATTCGCTGATCTTCAATGAAACTTCAATTGATCATGTTCACTGATCTCCAATGAATCATTTTGATCATATTCCCCTGATCTGTAATGAATCATAATTTGAGTATATTCGCTGATCTTCAATGAAACTTCAATTGATCATGTTCATGATCCCAATGAATCATCTCCAATGAATCAGTATATTTGATCATCATGTTCCTGATCTCCAATGAATCATCATTTGAGTATATTCCCTGATCTGTAATAAATGAAACTTCAATTGATCATTTTTCACTGATCTCAATGAATCATCATTTTCATATTCCCTGATCTGTAATGAATCATAATTTGAGTATATTCGCTGATCTTCAATGAAACTTCAATTGATCATGTTCACTGATCTCCAATGAATCATCATTTGATCATATTCCCTGATCTGTAATGAATCATAATTTGAGTATATTCGCTGATCTTCAATGAAACTTCAATTGATCATGTTCACTGATCTCCAATGAATCATCATTTGATCATATTCCCTGATCTGCAATGAATCATAATTTGAGTATAATCGCTGATCTTCAATGAAACTTCAATTGATCATGTTCACTGATCTCCAATGAATCATCATTTTACCTATTTACTGATCTTCAATATATCATCAATTGATGATTCCCGCCGTTTAATAATTAAAGAACATATCATGATTTATTATTATTGTCAAATATAACCTTAACAAACACTCAAAGATGCTATTTACTTGATGACAGATACACATGGGGAACTGAAAGAAGCTAGTCCAAGAGATCATGAAGAAATGCTTAACCATTAATTGTAAGAAGAATGATATGACTTACATGTAACTGATGTCCTAATTAAACAACTGTATCAGCTGAATTTATCTGGGCAATGTAATACCAATCGACAGAATGTATAACATGATTTCCAAGGTAATTTGTAATAGCTAAAATCACCATTCAGAAAATGAGTACATTATATTTTTACGGCTTATCAACCCTTTGCAGTTTATTTAAAGCCAGAAAATATTTTAGATTATAAGATAATAATGATTTAGCGATACAAATCTTACTAATTAATCAATAGCTGGAGGGCAAGAGGTAGATTCATAACTTTCCCAAGGGTATTTGCGCGTAAGTGAATATAACAAACCCAACTGGAATTGGAACTCGGCTCTCCGGTGAACAATTCCAAGCCATTATTCGTTAACACAATCCGCACCTCCAAGCTTACAACACCTGATATTCCCAAGCGGTCACCAATATTGGTAATGACCAGGATTGACGTTGCTTAACTCCAATGATCGTACGGGAACCGATTTTTTCAACCTGATATGGCCGTAAAAAATGTACTTTTTATATAATGTCTATTCTGGACGAAGATGCTCAAAGTCTTCGATGGATTCCTTTTCTTTATTTTTTTATAGATTTTTATTTGGAAAGATAGGGGAGTATTTTTCTGTTAACTTATTCATCGTTTTGGATTCAGAGTAGTTCTTTTCCGCGACTGATTGCAACTCAAAATTGGAGTGTTTTATCCTACTATTTAACCTATTGCTTGAGGAGAGATAAATTCGTGTCTATCCAATGGTATAGCGGGAAGGAAACACGAAGTCTAGGCCGTAATTTGAACTCGGCTTTCTGATTTCATTTTCCGCGCTGACAAAAGTTACGCACATCTCGAAAAAGGTACTGAAAAATGATATTAAAAACGAAGAAAAGATTGCTGGACTACAATGTGATGTTTATCCTTGTGCATGCTATAGAAGCCGAACAATTCCATTACAAATGAAAAAAAAATACTTGAAGGAAGCGAAACGTAGATCCAGTGACAAATGTTAAGAATACGAAGGATAAGACATATGAAAAAAGTTTAGTTTTAAGTATAAACTGTTCCGATAAAGAAAATATATCTGAATTCTTAGGAACAAATATTGAGGAAAGATTGTCTGTAGAATTTAACGGTTACAGGACACATCGGAGGTAAGAAAAGACGAAAGTGATGTAAGCACTCCTTGAAAAGTTTGGAGAAATCGATAGTAGAACTAGTAACATTAATAACAAAGGGGTATTTCTGGTAGTAAGAAAAGTCAGGGAGCCATATTCACCAGTAGCCTGAATGCATAGGGTACATGGAAAGAGATATCGTGAAAAAAAGAGTTGATTCAGTGTTCGGGTATTTTTATAATAAAGTATCACTAACAATATATATATATATATATATATATATATATATATATATATATATATAGATAGATAGATAGATAGATAGATAGATAATATTAGTGGTAAATATACACATAGATATGCAAAATATATAAATATATATACATAGGTGCATACACATACATGTATATTTTTTGAATAAAAATTCCAAGAGGATAGAATGCAGGTAGAACTCAATGTCCAGGACAGTGTAAGGATATAATAAAAAGGCTTAAACACTAATATTCCATGGTCATAATTTATTCTATTGGAATCGTAAATACGATCCAATTCATCAGACCTACAAATTCAAAAAGAAAACAGAAAAAAAACAACTCCGGAAATAAAAACAGAATTTAGAGAGAGTGTAAGTATATATCTAGGACGCGTTTTAACAGAGGATGTAAAATGTAACACCGAAATAGCGAAAGAATTTGAAATGCCAGAATATAGACACTATTTACATTATTCGGACTATTGTCCTCATCTTTGCTGCCATATTTATCACAGCGTTTCGGCCGTTGCACGCGCCGACCTTCTTCAGGTGGTTGGAATGTCGAACTAAACCCTTTATTTCGCTTGCTGGGGTAGACTGTTCTAGTTTCACGTGCCATGTCTAATGAATGTCAGTTATAAGTTATCCCCTGTTAATTTACATCTTCAAGTTCTCGACTGCCTTAACCAGGTATTGAACTCACAACTCTTTGGTTCCTGTCACTGGATCTAACCAACGCCTTTATCCACTGTGTCAATTATTTTAAAAAAGGGTTTTTGTTATTATTTTTAAATAATTGCTCTAGCCGTTATCATAGTAATTTTAATTTTAATCATGAATATGCTTATAAAACGCGTAAATTTCAGGAATTAGTTATTCCAAAAAAACAAATTCGCTTGAAGATGGAACAGAGCTTGGTACTTTAATTCAATTTAATTCAAATAATTATATTGAAGTTTTCGGCTCTTGTTTTGAAACATGAGAACTCTTATGTAGCGATGGAATCATATTTTTAAATAAATAATTATATATATATATATATATATATATATATATATATATATATATATAAATAATTTATTTTTTTAATTTATTGATTATAAGCTATTTTTAAAGGGTATTTAAGTAAACACTCTGCTTTTAACCAATTGTTAAACAGTATATTTATTTATTTCCATCGACCGGTCTGTATATTCGAGAAGTCTTATTAGAAAAATATACGCCTTCCGGCAGGATAGGAACATGCGTTCCCTAGGGAAACCGTCATTAGATCTGGCGTGCCTTGACCTATCGGACATATAGGACCTCCTGATCAAATATAGCCTTAATAGTGCTTTTGAATACATACCTTTCCTGACTCTCAAAATATACATATCGCTTATTTTCATAACAAGATTAAAATAAATATACTGTTTAATAAAAAAAATAAAATATTGCATCTACTCAAATTTGGGTATGCATTAAAATAACGTTTAAGCAAGAAATTAAAATATGTCGGATTTATAAATGAAAACCCTAAAAAATTATATATATATATATATATATATATATATATATATATATATATATATATTATAATGATTGAAAAAATATGGTTTTTTTCGCTAACAGTTCTAACCATGTTCAAAATGGAAGCTAAAAGCCCGAATTTATTTTTGTAATTAAATTAAAGACATTAGTTCCATTTCATCCTCAAGCGAATTTTGAGTAACTTTAAAATTACTGGGTTTAAAGACACAGCTAAAATCATAATTCATGTTTCCAAGGTTACAGATGAATCCAATTTTACTAGACGAGGGTTGTCTTTGGTGTCTATATTTTAATGTATCAGTTATTACACGTTTTGGTAGTGGGTAGGGATGTATTTTTGAATGCATGAAAGTTACTCCAAAATTCGCTTGAGGATGAAATGGAACTAATGTCTTTAATTTAATTACAAAATTAAATTCGAGGCTTTTAGCTTCCATTTTTGAAACGTGGTTAGAACTGTGTAGCCAAAAAACCATATTTTAAATCAATTAATTTATAACATTAATGCTCTGTAAATTTACATTGAACACTATTTTGTAAAAATAAAATATCTATAAGAACACCGGATTATATATCTTACTATTCTTTTCTTTTATTTTTTTTTTATTTATATACATATATATATATATATGCATATATATATATATATATATATATAAACTTTGAAATATATATATATATATATATATATATATATATATTATTTCAAACGTTATTATAGTGGACTCTTCTTATTTGAGTAGAAGCTCTAGTTTTATTTATCAAATAGTATGTAATGCGTCTATCGGCCTGTGCATTTGAGAAGTCTAAGTAAAGGAAATGTGTCCTCCGGCAGGGACAGAACTTGCATTCCCCGTTTCATCCGAAATGCTTTACCGTTCGGCCCCGACGGGTTTTACAGTAAGCAAAGGTCTTTTTATCCATTTTAAGGAAAGCACCTCTCCTTCGCTCAAATTATTTTTCTCGAGAGCCCATATTTGCGCAGTTTCGTGTCAGAAAAGTAAAGAAAGCAATCTTCAAAGAATCAATGGATTTTATTTCCAATCCGATGTTTTTATTACTTCAAACGCTATTATAGTGGACACTTCTTATTTGAAATAGACGGCCCATTTTTATTTATTTATTTATTAAACAGTGTATAATACGTCTACATATATTGATAGATAAGTGAAAGTTTCGTATGTCCAGATAAATATTGCGTTTGTGAAGACAATGAATAGCATTCAGAGTTCTTTGTATGGGAAGCACGTTTGAGAGACAAGAATGGACGAAAGTAAAAAATAAAATATAAAAAAAAAAAAAATAAAAAAAAGATCTACTGATATGTTCTCATACTTTCCCATGGAATAAAAGGGACATTTTCAACAGCATAATAGAAAAGAAATCTGGTCGCGGGGGCGGGGGGGTGAAAACAAGGAATGGTTGACTGGAAAAACAAAAATAAACCAAAAAATGGAAAGGGAATAAAGAGAGGGCTATTGGCGTTGCCATGGGATACAAAGTAGAACAACAGAGGAACTCTCCTTTTCTCCTACAACTTACCGACTCAGACAGCTCTGGATTGGACTATGCTTGCCTGGCTACTCGTTCTCCGTCCGTCCATTCAATGGGAGAGAAAGAAGGAATTAGAATAAAAGAAAGATTTTGAACAATGAAAAACAGTGAAAAAAAAAAGAAAGAAAGGAAAGTTAAAAGGCAAACCTAAAGAGAGAACAAAAGAAAGAAAAGAAAAGAAGAGATAGATAGATAGATAGATAGATAGGGAAAGAGAGGGAGAGAGACAGAGTAAATAAAGAGTTGTACGAGAAAAGAATAGTGAAAATTGACAGACGAGAAGTAAAATAAAAGAAAGTAGAATAAAAAGGAAAACCCAAAGAGAGAACAAGGGAATGAAAAGAAGAAAAAGTCTTACAAAGTAAGAGAAAGAAAAAAAAAGATAGAAAAGATGCAATGAAAACGCGTAGAGAGAGAAAGATAGAGAAAGATAGAGGGAGGGAGAAAGAGGGAGAGAGTGAGATGCAATGAAAACACGTAGAGAGAGAAAGATAGAGAAAGATAGAGGGAGGGAGAAAGAGGGAGAGAGTGAGATGCAATGAAAACACGTAGAGAGAGAAAGATAGAGAAAGATAGAGGGAGGGAGAAAGAGGGAGAGAGTGAGATGCAATGAAAACACGTAGAGAGAGAAAGATAGAGAAAGATAGAGGGAGGGAGAAAGAGGGAGAGAGTGAGATGCAATGAAAACACGTAGAGAGAGAAAGATAGAGAAAGATAGAGGAGGGAGAAAGAGGGGAGAGGAGATGCAATGAAAACACGTAGAGAGAGAAAGATAGAGAAAGATAGAGGAAGGGAGAAAGAGGGAGAGAGAGAGATGCAATGAAAACACGTAGAGAGAGAAAGATAGAGGGAGGAGAAAGAGGGAGGGGAGATGCAATGAAAGGTAGAGAGAGAGAAAGATAGAGAAAGATAGAGGGAGGGAGAAAGAGGGAGAGAGGAGAGAGTGAAACGCGTAGAGAGAGAAAGATAGAGAAAGATAGAGGAAGGGAGAAAGAGGGAGAGAGGAGATGCAATGAAAAACGTAGAGAGAGAGAAAGATAGAGAAAGATAGAGGGAGGAGAAAGAGGAGAGAGGAGATGCAATGAAAACGTAGAGAGAGAAAGATAGAGAAAGATAGAGGGAGGGAGAAAGAGGGGAGAGGAGATGCAGTGAAAACACGTAGAGAAAGAGAGAGAAAGATAGAGGGAGGGAGAAAGAGGGAGAGAGGAGATGCAATGAAAACACGTAGAGAGAAAAGATAGAGGGAGGGAGAAAGAGGGAGAGTGAGATGCAAATGGAAAAACACGTAGAGAGAGAAAGATAGAGAAAGATAGAGGGGGAGAAAGAGGGAGAGAGTGAGATGCAATGAAAACACGTAGAGAGAGAAAGATAGAGAAAGATAGAGGAGGGGAGAAAAGAGGGAGAGAGGAGATGCAATGAAAACACGTAGAGAGAGAAAGATAGAGAAAGAGGGAGCGAGGGAGAAAGAGGGAGAGAGTGAGATGCAATGAAAACACGTAGAGAGAGAAAGATAGAGAAAGATAGAGGGAGGGAGAAAGAGGGAGAGAGGGAGTCTTGCGAGAAAAGAATGGTGAAGATTGACGGACGCGAAGTTGTGCGGTCGTTCGGAGCGCTGTCACGAAAAATAAAAGCGAGAAAAGAGATGATAAATATCATTGAAAGATTCCGGCATCCACTGCGAATTCCTCGGTGCACGTCCGTAAATAGGCACATCCATCAGTTTTACACGAATTCGAAGAACCTGCCAGACGAGAAGAAGAGAAGGCATGTCACTTCAAAGTAGTTCTTTCGGGGGCATCGCCAGCTTTAAGATTGGTGGTGGGTTAACTGAGAGAGCGTTGTTGTCCGAAATGGTCGGAACAGAAAAATTATAGACTTCTACGAAAAGCCTAACTCCAGCCTCTGCTGACCTGCACTTCCATTTATGTGTCTCTCTCTTGACAAGAAGATGCACGCCATTTTGTGTTCGTGTGTGTGTGTCTTATCGTTTCTTTGTTTCATTGAAGATCAGTGAATACCATCAATTGATAATTTCAAATTTCTTCAACAACACGGGTACATTTATGCTCGATTAGAGTCTAAATTACTAATTAGCAACTCTAGGATTCATAAGGTTTACCATTTACAACGTTTCCTTAGGTTACGTTATTTTCTGGACTATTTGCCTGCAAGTAATGATGGAAGAACAAATCAAAGACATAATTTCCGAAGAGAAAAATAGCTTATAACATGGTGCCAAAAAAAAAAAAAAAAAAAAAAAAAAATGAACAACTCCATTAGAATGAAATGCTTAAAACGATACCGTACTGCTTAAAAATAATAAATTTAGTCATATAACATCTGTTTCATTTTATACTAGCAGGCTTTGCCCGCTTGGTATCGCTTCGCAAAGTAAGATATATTCAATACTTGAAATCTTTGAAACAAAAATTTTAAATTAACATTTCATTCATAAATTGGCTTGTTACTGTTAAGGAAAGTTTTACAAATAGATGCCAACTTGTTGAAGGCCAAGTAAAATGCAAATTTCAGACACTAGGCACTATATAAGACGATATTCCTAAACAGAACTATTTTTGATATGAAAATCAATCCTTGAATAAAAAAACAGTAATAGAGGACAGTTAATTAATTAAATATTTTTTTAAAATCAATATACAAATTAGTTAAACCTGAAAAGTGATATTGCCTAGAAGTAGATAATATATAATACTGATATTGAGCTTTCTAGCCTCTATAAAATATAGCCGGTGCTTTTTAATCTCAGAATTCGTGGGAGAATTGAGCTGCAATTTCGCATTTATTCATATAGATTCCGTAATATAGGTTTCACTTAATTAGCTATTATGTTTACTAACTGTTTAAATGTTGAATATGCAACTAATTCTAATTTCTGTTTCCCCATCTTTACACTATATTAATTTTATCTGATAAATTTTCCCCTGTTCAGTAACCCAAGAAATAAAAATTGTTTGTACGGAAAATAAGGATCTACGTACACCAAGTCGTCTTTAAATTAAGTGGCAGCAGAAGAAGTATCTCGTTAAACTTTTAAAAGGTAAACTTAAACATTAATTCAATACTTAAACATAGCAATCAATTTTGAGTTCTTCTGTAATTTATTGATGCCTATCGCATCTACGCCATGCTAGCTATAGTGATGATGGCGAAACCAAGAGTCCTCCACCGAAGCTAGCTTAAATGCCGCCCGATAGCGCTGCATTTATGCTAGCTGCAATTTTGGATACAAAAGAAAACTAAGGGTTACTTCTTGAGACATGAGAGCAACGATAATGGCTAGTATAATATATTAATATGTATTTTTAACCTAGCATAATCTGGCAACCCAAAATCTGGGCTCAACGAAAATCGTTCCCTGCGCCTAACTTTTCTATGGCTTTTAAAGTATGAATCATTGAAATTGGACCAGAGGGAGCGGAGGAGTTGCTTGGACACATATACGCACAAACACACATACACATATACTGTGCATTATATATAAGATATTTTTATTTTATAAAATTGTTAAAATATTTATATAGTTTTTGTATATAATTAAAACGAAAATGATAAAAAAAAATACTTCAATGTGCCTTGTCCCTTCAGGACGTTGGTGGTCATGGCTCTTCAGAATTCCCTAACCTTTGTAGCTGTGAGTAAATTTTGTTTTTTTTTCATCTTTCCCAAACCCTGTTCTATCAGCCATTTTTCCAATCTCGCTAGGTTGGTTATGCGTTGTTTTCCTTTTCCCCCTTGCATTCAACACGTCCCGTGAGTATTACATTTTCCAAGCCCTCTTTCCTCAGTATGTGTCCTAGAAATTTTGACTGTCTCTTCCGGATGTTAAGTGTAAGTATCCTTTTTGTTTTCATTTTCTATAAAACATTGTCGTTTTTTCTGTAAAACTTCGTTGTTGCTCACATGTTTGGTCCATGTTATTCTCGGCATAGTTTTGTAGCTTTCTGTTGCTTGAAGTCTCTTTTTTAAGGAGAGTATCCAGTATTCAATTTCATATAAGAGGACAAATATTATGTAACAGTTTAGTAATCTTTTCTTTAGTACTAACGAAAATTTTCCTGCTGGTTGATATTTTACTTAGTTTTTGGAATGTATCTTTCGCTAAAACAAATCGCCTTTGGATTTCAGCTAACATTTTCCGTCAGCTACTTAAACAATTCTCAGTCCGTCTAAATATTTGTAACCATCTGCATGTACTCGTTCTTTTCTTCTTCTGGGTGCTGATGATCATAACTCGCCACAACTTCCTATCCTTGGCAGCTCTAAGCAATGCTTATTCCCTTCTTGTTCTACCACAGACTCATTAGGTAGGTTACTCGCCGTTGACACGTTTCCCTTGTCTTTAATATGTCCTAGGCGTGTCAAATTCCGAAAGTGCTATTTCCTCACTATGTGTCGTAGAAATTTCAACTCTGAATCTAAGTCTAAATATCATTTTTGTTGTTGGGATTTTCCTTAACACTTCCTCATTGCTCAAGTGTTCTGTCTATGGTATTCGCAGCATCTTTCTGTCGAATGACAATGCCTCAAGTTTCCACTTCATTTGTGAGGAAATTGTTCAGAATAGACGGATATTATATAACAGCTTAGCACATTTGTCTTTGTTGCTTATAATTTTTTCCGGTTTCTTAATAATTTGTTTAGCAGGTGTTGGTTATTGTCTGATACACCAATATTTACTTATCTTAAATATGTAGGTAAATATCTATCTATCTATCATTCATTATCTATCTATCTATCTATTGGATATATATATATATATATATATATATATATATATATATATATATATATATATATATATATATATATATATATATATATATATATATATATATATATATATATATATATATATATATATGCATATATATATATATATGCCATATATATATATATATATATATTATAAATTTACTAATTTGAAAAAATATGGTTCCATCGCTACACAGGCATTGTCATTACTATGTTTCAAAACAGAAACTAAAAACTTCAAATTCAAATACAGAATTAAATTTAAGTCCCTGGTTCTGTTTCATTTTCAAGCGAATTTTGGAATAAGTTATTCATTTCTGTTTTTGAAACATGGTAATTCCTGTGTAGCGATGGAACCATATTTTTAAATTAGTAAATTTATAATATTTATGTTCTGTAGATTTGCATTGAGCCCTGTTTCGTAAAAAATAAAAATAATTAATAAGAACACCGGATTATATATCTTACTGTTCTTTTTTTTATTATTATATATATATATATATATATATATATATATATATATATATATATATATATATATATGGATAAATTTGGAGGCATAAATTATCAGCAGGGTTTGAAATGGAAACTACAATAGTAAGAATACTAATAAAATCTGCCTGTGTGCTTTAGAGTTTTTACCATGAAGCGCTTCGTGGCCGAGCGATAAACGTACGTTGGGTCAGACGATGATTACTCCTGTAAAAGGGGTCGCGGGTTAGAATTCTGCCTGTAGGCACATATTTTATTTTTTAAGTTGATATAAATACTGTTTAAAATAGACGGATACGAAACCGAATACTTATGTCTCGGGAAAATCTGAACAAGTCAGTGTGCTTTAAAGGCTAAATGGCGCTTTGTCTAATTGTGATGCAGGGTGTCTACGCAAATACGTGAGTCCACTAAAAATAACGTTTGAAGCAATAATAATAATAATAATAATAATAATAATAATATATATATATATATATATATTATATATATATATTGCCATCTTGTCCAAAGAATCAGAATGAAAAAAAATCCTGTATGTTATTCAGCTAGAATGAGAACAGGTTAAAATCGTTTTGTGTTAGCCCAGTATGTCTTCCCAACTGAGCAATAGCGAGAGGAAAATATGATTCAGGTCTTCACTAATGGTACCGACATTCATAATCTGGCGCCCATCTTCAAAGTCCATTCAAGAACCATCAAGAGAACGGTAAATAAGTTTAAAAAAGACGGATCAGTAAAGAGGAAAAGGATCAGGAGGTCACAACAGCAAGAGGATCATTCAACTTAGAGCTAAATTCATTCTTATTGTTCAAAGTTGAGTCCAATAGTGTTATAAAAACCTCGGAGAATTCCAGTAAGATATCTTTAATCATTTCTAAGATACAACGGTTCAAAGCGTAATCTAACAATTGGACAATTTTGTGTTACAAGATTTGGACAATTTTGCTGTTACATCCGGCACACACACACACACGCACACGCACACACACACACATATGTATATATATATATATATATATATAAATATATAGATATATAGATAGATATAGATAGATAGATATATAAAAAGAAAGTGAACCCTTAAGATAATGTTAAAAATTGTCTCTTTTTTCCAGATAATCAATAAAACTATATATTCATTAAGAAAATCTTAAATCTAAATGAATTACAATCATTTCCAAATTTTTTTATCAAGCTGATATAAAATACTAATTATAAATTAAGATGGGCAAAAATAAGTTAACCATTCCATTTAGACTGTATTTTACATGGTTACTAGGGCAAATATTTTTTATACGTTTTTTTTACATTGTGTATGCGAAACAGTGCAGTTAGTGATTATATTTAAAAAGAAATATACCAAGATCAAAAGAACTTTCTGAAACTTAAACAATCACTTAGTTGGAGACTATAATGATGGAGAAGGCTACAAAAAGCTATCAAAACGATTTGAAGTGTACGTCTCCAGTGTGCGACAAATTATTCACAAATGGAAGGCTT